TGCCCATTCATTTAACAAATATTTATTGAATGCTCTGTATTTGTGGCATTCTTTAGTGCGGAAGCCAGAAAAATAAACATTTTTATAGTTGACTTAAATGATTGCTTTTAAATTGTGACAGGAGTTTGAAGGAAACAGAGTCCTAAGATAGAGCTACACTAGAAAAGACCTACATTGGCAAGGATGGTCTTCTGTAAGAAAGTGAGACTTTGACTGATACTTAAAAGAGAAGAAACTACCCATGCAGAGACATAAGCCAGGTATTCTAGACAGAAGAAACCTTACATGCAAATAGCCCATGTGGGGGAAGAGCTGAGTGTGTTCAGGAACTAAATACATTGAATGAACTTGAAAGGAAGAGGTTATGAAGTGGGAAAGGTTGGTGAAAGCTACTTCTCTACTTTCACAGGCTCTTACTCTAGGCCTCCTCAGAGCGTCTGTTATGCTCACGTGTATCATGAAGCTTAAGAGAAGGATCCAGCATATAGTTACTCCCAAATCTAACACAGGCCCTCTCAAAGATAGATGGCCCCATTTGTCTTTTAGGAATGCTATTCTAATGTCCTGATTGTGCTAGTAAGACACAGGAGAGTTCAGAGGGGCATCACTACTACTCTTCTCATAAGGCTGCTGACACCCTACCTAAATATGCAGAATGTCTGAGCTGCCTCTCTGAATTCTGGCAGGACCCACCTGCAAATGAAGAGATCTCCACAGACAGGCTGGTGGATGAGCCCTAGCAAGTCAGTTATACGTTCAAACTGAAAGACTATGAAAACTTGATTTTTAAATGACTAAATTCAATAATGATAATCACCTGTATTCTTATTTCCTAGGTCAAAGACAGAGTGGGAAATGGGGAAAGGACAAAAGCAGGGGCCACAGCTTCTATTCATGGTCAATAAATGTATCATGAGATACAGACCTGAACTAAGAATTATTCTTTTTTTTTTTTTTTTTTAAGACGGAGTCTTGCTGCAACGCCCAGGCTGGAGTGTAAAGGTGCAATCTCAGCTTACTACAACCTCTGCTTCCTGGGTTCAAGCAATTCTCCCACCTCAGCCTCCTGAGTAGCTGGGATTACAGGCACATGCCACCATACCTGGCTAATTCCTGTATTTTTAATAGAGACGGGTGTTTCACCATGTTGGCCAGGATGGTCTTGATCTCCTGACCTCGTGATCCTCCCTCATCGGCCTCCCAAAGTGCTGGGAATACAGGTGTGAGCCACCATGCCCAGCCAGAATGAATCTTTAGTAATAGAAAAAAACCTCATATTCTCCCTTATATTTAGTTTTTAGCATCTAATTGCATATTCTTGTTTTTGTTGTTTTTTGTAAAATGCTTACAAGTTAACCTACCTTTTCTGTGCCTTCTGAATAAATACTTTATTAAGCAGACAGGAGAATAATGGGTCCTTTACATATTACCTGACTTCTTAAGCAGCTGTAGTCCAAGTTATTTTATGCATTTTACACTCAACTGCCTAGCTTGTGAATATATATTCACGTAAGAGAAAATTAATTTTATGAAAAAAGTACAGGATCCTTAACCGTTGTGCCAGCCTTTTAAATGACTCTGTAGCACCACTAACATCTCCCTTTTTCTAACAATGACCTCTTCATAACCACATAGTTTTCAAAGTCCTGTTCGCCTCTTCCCCCATATCCAAAAATTCAAAATCAGATCAGACAACTGTCATTCTTCCATATCCAAAGGTATCTCAGAAGGCAGGAGTAGCTGTGTACACATAAAGGATGAAGCTTGAGCCCACAGAGAGTTAAATTAATATCCTGGCTTGACTAGTTCAACTTACTGTACATCTTCATTTGCCCAGAAACACAATCTATAGCCAACTGCTAACCAAGTCAATATGTGGTAAGACTAACAGCCACCCTAACCTGCCTTGATAATTATTCTCCTTTAACTGACATAATATTCAATATACTGTTGTTGAGAGCAATAATGCTAAAATTGATGCCTTGAGGGCTACAAGACAATTGAGTTTTAGCCAGATAAAATGACTTGTACACTAATAGTGCATTATGGGGTTCCACAGCTTTCGGACACACATTTTATAGCCTACTTTTACAAAAATGCCATATATAATTATATTCAAAGTAACTTGTGCACACCTTATCATTACCACATACAATCTTTAAAATACTGGCTGATTACCAAATAATATTACTTTAGAAGAAAAGGGTTTACTTTTATAGTCTCTGTCTTTTTCCTTAACAAAACAAGCATTTTCTCACTATATAAGTGATAACAGTTTTGTTGTTCTGAAACCTTTTATTTTTTTTTTTCCAAACCAAGAACTGTTTTCACAAAGAACAAGATTATAAATGCTGAATGACAAAAACCATTATTTAAATAAAATCTATATTACATCAATTCTACCAATAAAACAAGACAGAAACCAAACCTAGAATTATTCTAATGTAAAAATCATCTACAGTTTTCTCAAAATGTCAATTTTAGACTCTGAATGGAGAAACATTATATTAAATTTGAGACTGTCAAAATCTGTATTAGAATAATAAAAATTAATTATAATTTAAGTGCCACAATAAATGACAATGTTCTTTATATGCAATATTTCACCCTAAAATAAGAGACTATAAATTTTAGTTCCTGGTTTTACTGAATTTTCCTCTCAAACTTAATTTCTCTTGCCATTTTCTATCTTTAAATCAAATCTGTCCAACCCACAGCCCACAGGGCTGCATGTGGCACAGGATGGCTCTGAATGTGGTCTAACACAAATTTGTAAACTTCCTTAAAACAGTATGAGTTTTTCTTTTTTTTGCTGTATTTATTTTTTAGCTCATCAGCTATTGTTTGTGTTACTATGTTTTATGTGTGGCCCAAAACAATTCTTCTTCCAATGTGGCCCATCAAGCTAAAAGACTGGAATACCTCTGCTAAATACTGGGCCCTCATACAAAAGGAAATACAGAGTACATTTACATTTTTTATACTTGCATTAGAGATATGTTCGAATACTGGGGAAATATTAACATCTAAGTAATAATTTCAAGTAAAATAGAAAACAACAGGACCGTATCATAGAAACATTATCAGGCTTTATATTTACTGCTATCTGGACAGAAAGATGCAATGTATATGCTTGTGTCTCTGCATAGGTATGCAGGTATAAATATCTTAGGCAACAAATACACATGAAACTGAAAGACATTATTAATGACAGAAGTATAAGCAGCATAGTGGAGATAATAAAGATGGTACAAGACTGGGCCAAAATACTTGCTGGTTTGGAATAAAGAAAAGACTGTTAGTCAAGCTAACAGTTCCATATAAACAACTATAAGAGGTTTTTCTCTTTGTGTAGGGCAAAATCCATCCAAAACAGACATTAATAATCATGTTGTGGAAATGACTGTAGAAGGATGTAGTACTGTATGCATCCTGGGGCCAGTACAAGCAGGAATTGTGAAACTAGTTCCTTTATTTATTTTTCCTGGCCCCTTTCTCTTAGACCTTGTTCCCTATCATGTCCCCTAACCATCCAGGACTTATCTTCCTACTTTATCCCACTGAAATATCCCCATCCTAAGGCAAATGAGATAATGCTTGTGAACACACTCTCTAAACTGAAAACGTAATATATAATTGTTACTATTATCACCATCATCTCATCTTTTGAGGGCCAAATTTTCTGAATCTTTCAAGTTGAGATTCTCACTAAATTTAGACGTCATTCTAGTCTGAGAGCAGACAGGTTATTCCACCTCCCTTATCTTTCTCTTCTACTCACCATCCTTCCACTGCTCTCCTGTTCCAGCTAACAGCTGAAAGTATCACACAGGACAATGACAAGAATTCATGTGAACTAATGCCAGGTCACTTTTTAGAGAGGGAGACTGAAGCTCCCTACTCCTCACATGTCAAGCTGGCAGCCAATGCCCTTCATGTAATACACGGTGCCTCAGGGAATAAACAGAGGTGATATCTCCAGCACTATATAAGGCTGGCACAGCCAAAACCACTTGTTTTTGAAGGGGTCACATCTCCTGGTATTATCTTCATAGGAAATTTCAAAAATTGCTTCAGATTCTACCTTTTCAAATTGAGGTCACCTTCAGCAGGAGCGAGTATTTCTTCATTATCCAGTGTAGCCTCTTTGGATCCTGCAGTCAGTCTCCCAAAATGCTGTTCTCAACATTGACCCCTCAACAATTGTAGGAAGACTGATAGCCATAAACATGTTTCAGAGGCAAAGTATACAATGCAAATGACATACGACATACTGCAAAAATGAGATGAAGAAAGGGAGGGATGGGAGATGGGGGTGCATGAAGGCTGTGGGCCTTCCAGAAAACTCTCAAAGCCCTTACAAAGGAGAGACTCAAGGCTGGAAGAACAGGTTCTGCAAAGGCCAAATCTAAAACCAACTCTGTACGTTTCAGAATGCAGAAATCTGAAGGCTACGATGTGACAGTTTACTGGTTATATAAGTTTATATGAATTACAGTTCTACCTTTGATTTGGATGAAGAAACAATAAATGGTAACATGCGTACCTGTAGGTACACAAACAACGGAAAAAAACACCATACCTGCAAACTGAGTATGGAAAAAAGCCCTAACAAACCGAAATGAAGGGTAATTTCAGATTTTCACACACCCATCACCCACGTCAAAGAGCCCTCCTTTTTAACAGGGCTATAATAAGACTTGTTGGAGAAGCCAGGAAGCCCATGTTGTAGAGAGTTGAATTCAAAAAGGTGCACACAAAGGTAACGCGAGGCAAGAGGCCACATTTTCCTTTTAATACACCCTGAGGCCCAGTGGTGGCCTGCTTCCTCTCTCTCGTCTCCCCTTCCCTGACAAGCCCGCTGAAATGACCACTTTACCCAGAGGACGGTGTGCAGTCCTTCCTGCAAGGGGCAGGAAGGAGACCAGGTTTGCTAAGGTCTCTAATGCTTCCCCACCCAGAGTGGGCCCCATACACCGGTGTTCACGTACTCCCCCTACCTGAAGGATGTATCCTCGGACATAGTCCCGCAGAGTCCAGCCAAGGCCGTGCAGTATGTGCAGCACCTCCTCCTGCTTCAGGACGCTGAAGAGGCGGTCCAGTAGGATCTTCAGTCGCACGGGCACTGCCTGCGTTCCGTAGAGCATCAGGCTGCTGATGTCAAACACAACGTTGGACTGCACAATCTCCACTTGCGTGGGGTGGTACAGGTGCTGCGTGCTGAGCTTATCCAAGGCTGCGGTGGTCCCGCCAAAGTTCCAGTGATGGAGGTGTTGGCAATAAAGAGATAAAGAGAGAGAACAGGAGTTAGAAACATCGCTATAAGTTACCAGGGCTCCACTTCTACAGATGAATGTTCGCCACAGGTGTTTAAGCAAGATCTTGCAAAGAAAATAGTTTTCTGACACCTCCTTTCTGTTTTGTCCTTTTCCTTTCCTATTTTGTAATTTGATGTGTTTATAAATTGCAGGCAATACAAAACACATTTAACTTCAAGATAAAGAGCCACTGAGGATGTTTTTAAATGACCATGACTGGTGCTAAAAACCTGATTAATTTGTTAACTAATCTATGGTCCGACTCAAGTTAACGATGGTGTTCTCTACCCCCTACCAAAAACAAAACAATTCCTAACTCCTGCCATACAGGGAGGTTCAATCCATATCACTTTTATGAATAAGATTTACCCCTTATAATACCTGAATGGTTAAAGATGAGGAAGACGGTATTAGTTAGATGAAAGGAGTAAAAGACCTAATTTGGAGGGAATAAGAAAAGCTTGCATCTGTGTGTAGGGCTAGTAATTTAACTCCAGTCCTGTTAGCTATAGGGGTTTATCCAAAAACCTAGTTTTCCCAATTTCTCCCATTAGTCACCTGTTAGATAGCTTTTGTGTTCACTGGCATGTTTTCTGAAAGTTATTCAGGATAAAAAAGAAAGAAATTTAAAGTCATATTTTTATAAAGAAGTTACTTCATTAATAGCTATAAGGGTATAGATGAAAATGGAAACAAATGAGAAACCAACATTTGGGAATTTCTGGTGTATTTCAGCTAACTGTATTATCTCAGCAGAAAAAGCTGAGGATGACCATTCTCAGAGTAAACACTTTTAATAAAACAAAAATTTCAACAATTGGTTATTTTTTTCTCCTCAAATTTAAGAAACACCGTGTGACAGGCATTGAAGGCTGCTTGATCTTTTTTTTTCTTCTTTCACTGATACTGAAATCATGGTATCTGCTGCAAACATGAGTAGATCCATGATGGATTAATAAAGCTTGCTGAAAAAAAAAAAAAAAGAAACACCATCTCTTCTCTAGAGACAACAGCCAAAATAAGGTCATAAATTCTAGTCCCCATCCATATCTCAGTTACTGTACACCCTATTGCTGATAACAGAATTACATTTTGCCTCAGTTTCTCAAACAATAACATTGTCTTATCTGTAGGGCTTAAAGAGATGCTGCAAAGATTAGTGAGATAAGAAGTAAGAGGCACTCTAAACTCCTTAAGAGAACATAAAAGGCATTCAGAACTGTCAGAATTACACACATATGCCCACTGAAAAATTAAACAAGATGAACACGGAAGTCTGAAGGATGGTCATCTAACCTCATGAGTCAGGCAAATGGTTATCAGCCAACATCTAGGCTCAAGTCCTAAGCCTTCCTCAAATTCTAAACCACTGTGTGGCCTTTCTCAGCTGCTCTTCCTAACACCTATCCCTAAAGGTATGGGCTACACTACACGTGCATTCTGAGCAACTCCTATTTTACTACACCAGCATTACTGCATGATAATGGAGGAATTTAAAAGTACATGCACACAGATTTTTTAGTATTTCACATGTATTTTTTCAGGGCTCCTCCTCCACTCTTATTTCCTCCTGACTTGTGGTCACTAGAGAGTTCATGTACTCTTGATAAATTGCTTTCTTACATCTACAGTGTAAAGGCCCTTATCATTTACCCGCTGGCTTCATTCAACACATTTACTCCCAGGAATACTTTGTCAAAGAGTTCGGGTTTTCTCATACTTCATTTCTTGCAGCTGATTTGTCTGATCTTTCCTATTCTAGTGGTTAAGTCAACTTTGAATAAATAGCCTTAAAAATTAATTTAACGTTTGGGAAAGATAAGGGATTCACAAGCCTAGGGATTGAAGTTTTCTCTCACTCCACAGGGTATTTAGACTGCAAAAAAAGCAGAAATGGGGTATTACTATCCCTGCTCTTCTTCAAGTACCCCTTAACTACTCCGCCTTCTGATGAGTGGCTGCTCTGCTTACAGAATCCAGTGACCAAAACGGAGGGATCTGCTTCTCCTCCATTTCCCTTCATCAGCTCTCCTCAACCATATGGGATAGTTCTTTACAAAACAGACTGCTATGACAACAGCCAATATGAAACTGACAGAAGTCAGTAGAAGGGAAATAAAATGACACAAAATCCTGATTTGTGTGTGTGTGCTTGGCACCTTGCATCTTTGCATTAAGTACATGCAGGTGTGTGTGTAAATGCATTCAAAAGTGAGGTGAAAAAAACTATAATCCCTCTCCTTCCCACTCATTAAAAAAGGTTGATTGCTTTAAAGATGAAGAAGACTAAACTATTAAGGGTACAGAAGAGAGAATCATCAGAGAATTAAAAGAGCACAGATAGAACAAAAACATTTCCCTAGATAAGGTTTCAAGAACACCAGAGATTGAGGATATTATAAGGACACTAGCTGATTCTTCTTCATAAGTATACTATATCTCAGTAAGTAGGAATACAGGTGGGCACGGTGGCTCATATCTGTAATCCCAGCACTTTGGGAGGTAAGATGGCAGACTACCTAAGCCAGAAGTTCAAGACCAGCCTGGGCAATGTGGTGAAACCCTCCCTCTACAAAAAAATGCAAAAATTAGCTGTGCATGGTAGCGCACACCTGGGGTCCCAGCAACTCGGGAGGCTGGGGTAGGAAAATCACCTAAGCCCAGGAGATCAAGGCTGCAGCGAGTGATGATTATATTACTGCACTTCCAGTCTGGGCAACAGAGTGGCCAAAATATAGAAAAAGGAAGAAATACTGTTATAAACCACATAAATATTCAACAAAGGTCAACAACTTAGTCTACAATGGCCAGATAGTAGATATTTTAGGTGTGTGGGTTATGCATTCTCTTTCACACCTACTCATGTCTGCTGTTTTAGCAGGAAAGCAGCCATACATAGATAAGACTTAAATGATTAGGTACGTCAGTGTTCCAATAAAACTTCATTTAGGCCTGTTGCAGTGGCTCACACCTGTAATCCCAGCACTTTGGGAGGTCAAGGCAGGAGAACTACTTGAGCCCAAGAATTTGAGATTAGCCTGCGCCAACACAGTGAGACACTGTCTCTACAAAAAAAAATTAAAAATTAGTCAGGCATGGAAGCACATACCTGTAGTTCCAGCTACTTGGGAGGCTGAAGTGGAAGGACTGCTTGAGCCCTGGAGGTCAAGGCTGTAGTGGAGCAATGATTGCATCACTGCACTTCAGCCTGGGTAGAAGAGTAAGAACCTGTCTCCAAAATCAAACAAACTTTATTTACACAAACAGACACCTCACCAGCTTTGTTTGGGCCCTAATGATGATGAAAAGGTGGACCAGATATTTAATGGAAGTCAATAGCAGATCACAAAAAAGCTCTAAGAGTGTGATATAGGAAGCAGTTACCTAGGTGATGAGCCATAGATGAAGACTTAAAAACTATTAAACTGGGCCAGGCATGGTGGCTCACACCTGTAATCCCAGCACTTTGGGAGGCTGAGGCGGGCAGATCACTAGGTCAAGAGATTGAGACCATCCTGGCCAACATGGTAAACTTTAGTAGAGATGGTGTATATCTGTTTCTACTTAAAATACAAAACTTAGTTGAGTCTGGTGGAGCGCGCCTGTAGTCCCAGCTACTCAGGAGGCTGAGTCAGGAGATATGCTTGAACCCAGAAGGCAAAGGTTACAGTGAACTGAGATGGCACCACTGCACTCCAGCCTGGCAACAGGGCGAGACTCCAACTCAAAACAAACAAACAAAAAAACAAAAAAATATATATATATAAATTAAAACTGCCTAGCTTGCAAATTTCAGCATAAACATATCATCATGATCTATCAAATTTTCTTGAATATATCAAACTTATCTGCTTTACAATTACTAGATCACATCAAGTCACCAAATTGTGACAACTTTTGGAGAAGTACCCCGAAACAATGATACCTGATGATTTTTTTATGAGTCATAATATCTGTAAGTTGAGAACTAGACTGCTGCCTAATTTCATGATCTTCATGTATCTGACTGGAGGAGTCAGGTCTGGATTTTGTAGGGTTAGGAGTATGAGTTAGGCCAATGGGGCTATGGAAAAGGTAGGGCAAGAACATGTTGATCAGGATGGAATAGGAAAAGATGTTACCTACTTTAACATTGTATGGGCCTAACCAGCTGCTAATTTGTCCTATACCAATGGTATTGTCAAGATTCATTTACAGGCCAGGCACAGTGGCTTATTCCTGTAATCCCCCAACACTCTGAGAGGTCGAGATGGGCAGATCACCTGAGGTCAGGAGTTTGAGACCAGCCTGGCCAACATGAGGAAACCCTATCTCTACTAAAACATACAAAAATTAGCCAGGCGTGGTGGTGGGTACCTGTAATCCTAGTACTCAGAAGGCTGAGGCAAGAGAATCACTTGAACCCAGAAGGCTGCAGTTTCAGTGAGCCAACATCGAGCCACTGCATTCCAGCCTGGGAGACAGAGAGAGACTCCATCTCAGAAAAGAAAAGAAAAAAGAGGAAAGAAAGGAAAGGAAAGGAAAAGGGGAAGGGGAAGGGGAAGGGGAAGGGGAAGGGGAAGGGGAAGGGGAAGGGGAAGGGGAAGGAGAAGGGGAAGGGAAGGGAAAGGGAAGGGAAGGGGAAAAAAAAAAAGAGATTCATTTTCAAATGAAATCTAACCACAAGTTACATATACAAAATATGTAAAAGTGAAGCTGTTCTAGTAAAGCTGGAGTAATCACGAATTAGAGAATGTTCAATCATTTATTATTCCCCTTTTCTCTTCAACTTGCTTAAGTAACTCAGTGGACTGAACCCTGGAAGTACAGTTTGAAAAGCCCTTTTCTCTATACTAAGCTGGTATCAAATTTTTGTCTGATTTGTGTCCACTCTCCTTCATTCTGGTAATAGAAGCTATGTTTCCAACTTCTCCCTTAT